ATATATATATATATATATATATATACATACACACACACACACACAGCAAAACTTATACAGTCTTTACAGTGCAACATTCAGAGGAAAATTTTGGTCAAGGTGTTCATCTAAGACTTTTAAAATTATACAGCAAAATAGAGACGCCCTTTTAGATGTTATAACATCAGATCGTTGTCATCTGCAAAGCATGCAGTCTTTACAATGAAAGCACAGGAAAAGACTACTTAAGAAAAACAACACGTTTATTTAGATGGACTTGGCGAAAAAGAAAAACGTTTTCATCTTATAGATTCCACTAGTGCAAGCTGGGCAGAATTATTCTTTGCATATTGGTGGGTTGCCAACACATAATTGGTGGTACCACCGGTTACATCCATCACAGGACATCTGAAAGTTTCATAAAAACAATAAATAACTCATTAAAAGTTGTAAGAATTTCAGCCACTTTAGCAATGCCTTAACACAAGTGTGCGGTGTATAAAATATAACCCAAGCTGAGGTTGGGTCATAAATCCACAAAACTGACACAGTTCCTTTAAATCTTTTAGTAAATAGATAAACTAACATATCAGCAATTCACAAGGATCAGATTTATATTTAAAGTCATATAGCATAAGAACATCTGAACTTCAATTAACAAATCAATGTTTTTGCAGTACCTAATCTTGACCATTTACCTGATTCCTGCACAAGAGTTTCAGAATTTCTCTTCTGATTTTGTCTATGCCCTTCTTTGAATTAGAAAAGGTGATCGCGTCATCCTTTAACATTTTTATACAAGTCAATTTACAGTAGGAAGATCATTTTTCATGCCTTGCATACAAAAACGCCACAAGATGTGCTGTCTTTTTGCAGTGGATGAGGAACTGTAGATGACCTTTAAATTGTTCAATCAAGGACACTTCTGCCTCCATCCAGTAGAGGGTGCTGTTGTCTTAAATCAGACCGTAGTGTGCACATTGAAGAAGTTATGGGTGAAGTGTTTAGCGCTAAAAAAGGAAAGGACTTTGGCGTGCTCTCTGTTAAGACTATCGTAAAGGCAGTCAAAAAGGTTTTTCTGACTTTTAGCTCCTGGCTGATGAAGGGCACACGGTATTGTTGATATGTTAATCAGTGAAATTTAAAAAGACTGTTTATTTTGAAAGTTTATAGTTGTTAACGGTCTTTTGGCTAGCATTTAATTGGTGTTAGCACATATATAAGGATTTTGAGTTTCAGTGTTATCAATATTATTTGTTAGTTTTGTAGAAAAGGCATGTCATATCCCTGCTGAAAAATCCAGCTTAAACCAGCCTAGGCTGGTTTAAGCTGGATTTTTCAGCAGGGATTTATTTTTTATTACTATTTACTTATAATTTGCTCTACAAATGGGACATTAACAGCCATTAAGGTCTTTATTTTGGTCATTTTATGAGTTTTAGATTTATCTTTCTAAAAATAACATCACTAATTGAGCTAAAATTAATTAATTGTTAAAGCTGTTTATATTGGAGTCTAATTGTAATTTATAAGGTCATAAATGCTTTATCTGCATTAAATATTGCCATTGTTAGTGTTATAGCAATTCAAATTATTTAGACTTATCCCTATAAAGTTAATTACATTTATATTTTATGCCTGTACAGTGAATTTGAGACTGTAAATGTGTATTTATCAGTTTATTGGCTAGTTATGAGCATTTGTTTAACGCCATTTCAATGATATGTGTAATGAATATTATTTGTTTCTTTGTTTCTTTTATTATTTCTTTTATTATTTATTATTCTTATTCAGCTCTTACGATGATTTATTTTGAAGATAAAAACTTTATAAACATCAGTCCCTGAGAGTAAAGTGCATCTGTTCAGCTGGGAATGCTACAGGAACTGTCACGGGTCCGCCTTGAAACTTTGCAGCCTTTACTCCTCATAAAAAGCTCTTAAAAACAACAATCATTATGGTGTCTCTTCCTTTAATAATAATTAAAAAAAATAATAATTTATTTCTTACCTTGTTGCTTCCAGACACCTCTTTATTTTTTCGGGAGACTCTACGAATGGATCCAAAATAAATAAATAAATAAATAAAAAATTATATATATAT